TCGGGCCGTACGAATAAACGGCGGTCGGAACCTCTTCTCCCTCCCACATGTCCTCGTAAAGGCGCACCCGGTACTCACGGTCGGAGACCGCCTGAAACGGATGGATCACGGGCGCCTCCGATAAGGCCAACGAAGGGGAATTCTCTATCGAGTCTTCCCTAGCAGAGTCATGAGCCGCATCCTCCGGAGCACTTTCCGATGACAGCTCTACCAAATTGTCTCCAACTCGGGAAGTCCCGCCACGCTCGACCATGGAGGTGGCCGTATCAGTAAGAGCGCCCACTTCTAGTCCTAAAATGCAACCGTCGGGCCTATCTAGACGCTCACCCGCAACAACCGCGTCGCCACCCCCACACAACAATTCAATACCCTCCGAGTCCCATTCTATGTCAGATAAACTTAAAGGGCTAGAGAAGTCAGGCATACCTGCACCGGCCGCAGGACCGCCTGCACTGGCGGCTTTGGTACCAGAACGCACCGCGCTGACTCCGCCGCGGGAAGCACCACCGTCGCCGGGAGCGGTGGCCGCCACCGTGCCGGAGGTGGTCGTCGTCGCAGCAGCAGAGGCGGTGTTGGTGGCAACGTCAGAGGCGGACGGCAGAACCGACTCGCCGGACAGACCTCGATTCTGGCTGTCGGACGGAGTGGTCGATTGAGAGGCCATCGCCAGCAGCTGTTTCTTCTTCTTCTTGTCTCGTTTCTGGGTTTTCCTCAATGAGGTCAGAAACCGACGTCGATCCGCTGAGAGAGACAACCGAGTCTCCAAATAGTGAGAGAGGGAAAATTTGGAGCACCGTGCAATTTTGAAAAGAGGACAGAGTGAGCAGAGTGCGAAAGTGACCAGAAACCAGAGGCCCGAAATATATATAGCGGCAAAAAGGAGGTGATGTGACGGTTGAGTGCCCTAGGCCACGAAATTCAAAAACGGGCACGCGAAGAGACGTTTCTCCTGCCCGATGTCAGAGCACGGAAACCAACCTGCCAACACGTGCGCAAGGCGTCTCCACCCCGAAAACCCGCGAGGCGGTCGGGTTACACCTCAGGCAGGCCAACCCTAGGCCCCCGGCGACCAAGGGCAGAGTAGGGTAAGGAGGAGGCGCGAACCGCTCAACTAGCTAAAATCATTATTGATAGCCGCCAAAACCCTAGGCTTTTCCCACCTAAGGGGCAATTGTTGGGCCGCATAGTTGAGCGTGATTGGGCCTTTGGCCCAAGAAGGGAGCATCCGCAGTTAAGGCCCAATAAGGGGACCAGGTCCGATCAGAAGACCGGGTCAGCGGGCGGTCCTTGACCGGCCGCAAACCCGAAAACAGATAAGGGCACCTGACATAAAGCAACTGAACAACACAGAAGGGCAGGGAGCCGTTGGAGATACGTATCTGGTGTCAGGCAAGACTGAGCATTTATTGCAGGCCACAGGCGGCCTGCAGAAAGGTAAAAAGCCTGCTCGGGGCGCCCGACACGGCCCAGGGCGCCCGACAAGGCATTTAATGCCTCAATTACCCTCGAAACAGGTATAAATACAGAGTAAGCTCATTTATGGTAAACCCAACTACTACCCATCTCTCTACATAAATTCTCTTATTCTCCCCTTTTCTCTCTAACTTAAGCTTTGGAGAGTGTCCCGGGCGACCGCCCCGGACCCTTGTTTTGCAGAGTATCTGAAGCGCCCCCCTCAGTCCAGGAACAGACGCCTTACTCCAGCTCCATAAACCGCCTAGTATCTACTAGGCACAAACACTAACATTGTGAGAAAAATCTTATATCAATATATTGTATATTTTGCTTTCAGTCTATATGTACCTTTCTATTATCCGTTGGTGTATTTATTGAATTGATTGTTTTAAAAAAACGTATTGTAATATTTTGTTTAAAATCTGGTAATATTAACCTTTTGAATATACAATTCTCCAAAAACAATTGCTCTCCGCGCCTCTCCCACTCTTACCGTCACACTCTCGCTCTACGAGCCGGTAATCTAAAGTAGTCGGGCCAACGAACCGAGTTAAAGAGCTAGTATATTATGACAACTCGAATACTTTAGTCGTATACCGATATCGATTAGTCCGAAATTCTTACCGTTGTTAAACTAGTCTTATATCACCACGATTGTCATTAGAGAAGGCAAGAAGAGCCCTACAAAAAATTAATCGCGGGTGGAACTGGAAACTTTGTTATATCCGCTCCTCAGCTGGGAATTGGACCCGTCAAAGCTTCTGTTCGTGACCCAAGTCAGAATCTCTCTCTCGCTCTTTCATTTCCGTGGGCTGGAAGTTTTGCTAATGTTTTCATTTGGGCCTCGGCAGAATGTGGCCCGGAATGAAGCCCATGTTCGCTTAAGGAGCCCGGGTTCCCAGTCCCGCCGCTCCCCGCCAGAAGAACTGACCCGAGTCTCCGCCGCAACTTCTCCTTTCCTTTCTCTTCCCACGGCTTCCGTTTTCTTCTGCTAAACGCCGATCATCTAGTAACTCAGCGGCGGCAAATGGCGACTGAAAACGCAGCTGGCAAGGGGAAAAAGCGAAAGCAGTATCTTCCCCACAACGTAAGTTCTATTTTCTATTGCTGGCTAGGCTACAAGCAGTAGCGGTTAATTTTGCACTATAATTGTTGGATTAATTTCGGCCAGTTTCGCATGTGTGGTTTTTGCAGAAACCGGTCAAGAAGAAAGGTTCTTACCCGTTACATCCAGGAGTTGAAGGCTTCTTCATTACCTGCGATGGCGGCAGAGAACGCCAAGCTGCTTTCGAGGCTATGAACGTTATCGAAACTGTGAGATTTCTGCTTGGTTTCACTTATTTTGCTTGCTGGGTAGTTCCTTTTTAGGCCAAAGTTGTTTTCTTTCTGCGTTGAACTATGTTTTGTTCCCTGGTAATGATGTATAGTGTGTTGGCTGGAGCTCATAGGGTTAATTTAGGGTAGTGATGTAACTAACCAAGAGCTTTTGTTGGTAAAGTCGCTTGATTTCTCTGAGGTTGTTTGTGGTTAGAATACCATTCATTCCAAGTTAGTTAAGGTCTTGGATTTGGCCTCTGATGATGATACATGTTTCTTATGCGAGGGAATGTTCTGATTTTGGATATTCATTACTGAATATGTGTTGGTTAACGTTAGAATCTGGCAAGTTTTTCACACCTCTTATTGAGAAGTTCTTGATTCTATGTGCCAGGGAAAAAGGCACCAAATTAGTTTTCTTTTCATTATACTCTTTCTGCTATTGTCTTAGTGTTATAGATGTTCAGCTTGTTGGCTCACTGAAATTTTGTTCATATGACTGAGACTGAATGCACGACTTTGCCTATCTGCAGTTCTATGAAGAGCTCGTCGATGGAAAAGGTGGTAATGTGAAGCTCTCCGAACTGCCAAGTAAACCACAGAACAAAAAGATCAAGTTCACATACTCTGACGATGAAGAAGAGGAAGAGGGGGAGGATGATAAAGCTGAGGAAGAGGAGGATGAGAAGAAAGGCAACGGGGATGCTGTGAAAGGTGAAGATGATTCCTCTGGAAATGGCGCTGAGGCCGAGTCTAACACGACCGAGGGGGTGAGTGTTCCAACTGCTGTGGAGTGTAGTAACGTAGATCCAGTAGAAGAGAAGACCAGTAATGAAGGAGAAGAAACCAAAGAACCTGCTGCGGAGCCACCAGTGAAAAAGCAGTGCATTGAAACTAATGATTCAGAAGGTGCTGTTGCAGCCAAAGTGGAGGAGAAATCTATTGACAAGCTTATAGCTGAAGAACTCAAAGAACTCGGGGACAAGAGTAAGGTGAGTAGTGTATTATTCCCCATCTCACAAACCTACATGTGTGGGCCACGATTCGGTCCACACATGGTGCGAATCGTACCGCATTGGATTGAATCAGATAATATTCGGTTTAGTTTCAAATGAAGATATATGTGTTGCCATGTTCGAACAGAGACTTCTCATCAATCTCGATTCTGGATGCAATGGTGTTGTTTTTGTTCAAATGCGCAAGAGAGATGGAGGCCCTTCTCCAAAGGATGTTGCACAGCACATGATGACAACTTTGGCATCATCCAAAAAACACGTGTCAAGGTTCATAACAAAACTTGCTTTGTTATGTGCTTCGCTCACTTCAACTTTGACACCAACAAGAAATCTCCTGCTGCTGACACTCCTTTCGCATTTCATGTATCTGTATCCAATTGTTTCAGGTTCCTCTTAAGATTGTTGCCAATTGAGGCATCCTGCTATCCTTCTGATGAGGAAATTTCAAGGGCAATTGCACCACTCGTTGCAAAGCACTTCCCTTTGGATGCTCCAGAACCACATAAGGTAATGCTAAATTTCATTTTAGTTATCTCTTGGTTAGCATCCTGATACTCGGTTCTCTGTATGCAGTTTGCTGTCATGTACGAAGCGAGAGCAAACAGTGGGATCGACAGGGCAAAGGTCATAAATGCAGTGGCGAAGGCAGTTCCTGAGCCTCATAAAGTTGATCTCAGCAATCCTAACAAGACAATCATTGTCGAAATCGTGAAGGTAGTGCAAATATCATCCTTTAAGTGTTTCCTTGGTATTACACAAATGATTTTTCGCCCGGAAGTTCTGATGGTCTGCTCTTATTCCTCTTATTCAATTCCAGACAGTTTGCTTGATTGGAGTTGTAGAAAAGTACAAGGAGTTGGCCAAGTACAACATCAGGCAGCTCACCTCTCCCCCACCAAATCAGTAGAGCACCGCCATGCATGTTCTTTTAGAGTCTAGTTAATCAGATACATTTCTCTGATTGTTATTTATGTCAACAGCTAGAGAATGAACTTTCTATATGGATGGATTTCCTTGAGCTGAAAAGTTAAAGCTATTGCTTGCTATTTTTTTTGCTCTATATTATATCTTATTCCAAAGCAAACCATGACATAGATAGATAGAGAGAGAGATTGAGCAGAGTAATCAAACGGTATTATCCCATTTCATTAGAAACTTGGCACAGAAGAGAAGATAAAGCAATTGCTTGCTTGTGTGTTGTTTGTTGATTTTGCTCTATATTCTTTTATCTTATTCAAAAGCATACCATGGCAGAGAGAGAGAGAGAGAGAGAGAGAGACAGGAGAGTAATCAAATGGTATTATCTCATTCATTAGAAACTGGCACTGAATTATTACAGTGATGGACAACATAAAATCAGATGACCACAGTAGGTAATCTCTCAAGGACATCCAAGTAAGTAAAGTAAAACCCAGAATATCATCTATCCTATGCAGTTGCTGCTGGAGGCTTGTACAACTTCTCCACCATCTTCCGGTACTCTGCAACCATATAAATGTTCCATCAGAGTCAGTTAGATGAAACATTCTTGTGAATGATTCGTAACTTCAAAAACACCCTTTCTCCAAGTAAACTCATATCTCGAGCTGCCTTACCTTCTTGATTGCTCCACATTTGTGCTGCCTGAGAGAGAGAGAGAGAGAGAGACAGGAGAGTAATCAAATGGTATTATCTCATTCATTAGAAACTGGCACTGAATTATTACAGTGATGGACAACATAAAATCAGATGACCACAGTAGGTAATCTCTCAAGGACATCCAAGTAAGTAAAGTAAAACCCAGAATATCATCTATCCTATGCAGTTGCTGCTGGAGGCTTGTACAACTTCTCCACCATCTTCCGGTACTCTGCAACCATATAAATGTTCCATCAGAGTCAGTTAGATGAAACATTCTTGTGAATGATTCGTAACTTCAAAAACACCCTTTCTCCAAGTAAACTCATATCTCGAGCTGCCTTACCTTCTTGATTGCTCCACATTTGTGCTGCCTGAGTGTTGAGTGGCGAACTGATGTTTGGCTCTGTACACAAGATGAGCATACAAACACACACACAATAACATCAGATCCAAACAACATTGCGACATTGATCGATCGAATCGAATCCATTGCTGAAACAGCATTCTGAGTAGAAAGTTGCAGAGATATCTAGTACAGAACAGACCTCCAAGCAAGCTCTGGATGGACAACAGAATAGTCCGAACGTCATACGCAGAAGACCACTTGTCCTGGAGAATGTCCAGGCAGATGTTGCCGTACACATCCACATTCGGGTGGAAGCAGGTGGTCTCGAACTTCACCTTTGGTGGCTTGAAAGGGTAGCTGTTGGGGAAAGCTAAAGACAGCTTGTACTCGGTTCCTTCAAAGACTGTATCTTTGCTCCCAGTGATCGTCCCTTTCCAGCAGAAGATGTTGTCTTCCTCTGGAAATGCTGATATCCCTGTTTCTCCACTCATCTGTTGACAAAAAAAGCCCGCCATAACCAGATCTCTTGAATCAGCCAACGGAAACCACAACCAAAATCAATCAATTGACAATTGCAAATTCGTTTATAGGAGATTTCCCCTCTCACCATTAGGGCCATCAGCTCCGACTGCAACCTATTGGTCAACAAACCAAATCCAAGAAACAGAGAACCAAAAATGAGAAACAGAGATCTCTCCAACAATCCAATCAAAATTAACATCGAGGATTTAAAATTTTAACGAACAGTTCTTAATCGGTAATTCAGCACGGGGGATTTCAGCTAGCTATTTGATCGAGTACCTTTTGAGCACAGATTGGGTATCGACGTTCTTCGCCGGAGCAGCCGCGGGAGTGGCCGAGGGTGCGTTGTAGTTAACGGTGGCCATTCTAAAACACGGTGGAGTGAGATCAGAAACAACGAAACAAAATCAAAGATGGTGGGGAATCAGAAGCACAAGAAGAAATGGTGTTTTTTCCTTTTCTTTCGTCTCTCTCGTTCCTTCTTTCCTTCCGCAAGTCCGGCGGCGAGAAGAGAGAGAGAGAGCGACGGAAAGAAACGTTAGAGAGAGAGAGAAATGAAGTGAAGAGAGAGAGAGGAGCGTCGGAAGCAGCAGGGGTGCGGCGGGGTTTATATAAGAAATGGATCCTCAGTTCCGGGCGAAAGGACGACGCGGGTCGGGTTTTCTTTCTTTCCCGAACGTTACGATCCCCCGAGCTTTCCCCCTCAACGGCTAGTTGATTAAGTCGAGCCTTTTTCAATTTTTTGTGACGTGGTGGGAATCACGATTTGGACGCCGAAAGCGTGTGTATTGATAGGGTTAATTATCTGACGTTTGACATTTGTTAGATGGGCCAGGCTTTTAGGCCCAAATGGTGGATGGCCATACTCTCTAGATTGGGCTTTTGATTATCTTTATAACCTGTTTGTTTTTTTTTTGGTAGATAACCTGGTTTGTTTTAAATTTTATAAAATGTTTTAATGAGATTCTAAAAAAAAGGAAGAATAATTGTCGATAATTTTCATTTCAGCAAGTCGTCGCATTCTTCCGCTGGTGGGATCAATCAATCAAGCAGAGAGCTCTCCACTGATAGAAATGGCTGCGCTCCACGGCAAATGGGTCAAGGTTTGTTCTTCTCTGGTCTTCGACAGCTTCTTTTACCCATCAATTTCCCCCTTTTTTACTGTTCCATCAAATCCCAACTCTCCAAGATTGAAACCCTAACGCCCAATTTTTTCCATCTGGTATATCCGAATCCCCAATTTTCCCCCTTGTTCCAGCTCGAACAGGAAGGCAAAGGGCCAGGCGCACGTAGCTCCCACGCCGTCGCCCTAGTCGGCGACAAGGCCTACGCGTTCGGCGGCGAGTTCGCACCACGCGTCCCCGTGGACAATCAGATCTACGCCTTCGATCTCAAAACCCTCACCTGGTCGGCTCCCGAAACCACCGGCGACGTGCCCCCGCCGCGAGTCGGGGTCACGATGGCCGCCGTCGGCAAGACGATCTACGTCTTCGGCGGCAGGGACACCGAGCACAACGAGCTGAACGAGCTCTACGCCTTCGACACGGAAACCAACCAGTGGACCTTGCTCTCGACTGGAGACGCCGGGCCGGCCAACCGGAGCTACCACTCCACCGCGGCCGACGACCGCCACGTGTACGTCTTCGGCGGGTGCGGCGTCGACGGCCGGCTGAACGATCTGTGGGGTTACGACGTGGTGGAGAAGAAGTGGGTCGGGTACCCGAGCCCGGGAGAGGGATGCAAGGGGCGAGGCGGGCCTGGGCTCGCCGTGGCCCAATGTAGGATTTGGGTCGTGTATGGGTTTGCAGGGATGGAAGTGGACGACGTGCATTGCTACGATCCGGCCCAGAAGAAATGGGCCCATGTGGATACCGCGGGAGAAAAGCCCACTGCGAGGAGTGTGTTCTCCACTCTTGGGATTGGGAAGTACATTGTCATCTATGGAGGGGAAGTTGATCCTAGCGACTTGGGGCATATGGGCGCCGGGATGTTCGCCGGAGATGCTTACGCATTGGACACCGAGACGTTGTCGTGGAAGCGGCTGGACGATGGCGGCGGTAGCGAGAGCCATCCGGGTCCGCGGGGATGGTGCGCTTTCGCCGGCGGGGAGATGAATGGAGAGAAAGGGTTGTTGGTGTACGGTGGGAATTCGCCTAGCAATGATAGGCTTGGTGACATGTACTTCTTCACTCCTTCCTCGGAGGTTATTGGTGTGTAGTTTTTACTCGAAGTGTGGTTGTGATTATGAGTGTTTTGGAGCTTTGAAAAGGGGAGTTTGTGAAAAAGGAGTGTGGAATAATGAATAAAAATCCCTTTTTGTGGAGTGTTTGTGTAGGTGAAGAACAATGTAACTGATTGTGTGATGTTTAATGTGTGGTGTAGTTCGTGTTGAATCTGCTACTTCTTCGCTTCTGTCGATTACGAATCATCATGGCGCGAGTTGAGTTTGTGAGTGGTTACATTTACGTACCAAACAAGATCGAATTTGCTCCGATATAGATGATAATGAGATCAGGGTTGTTCGAGTCACATATAAACCTAGCAGGGGAAGGCATGTCAAGCAACAGGTCGAATTCACGAGTTATGAACCACTTCTCGTGGGTCGGGTTTTAGTCCAGGGCTAGCGGTTTCGGTTTAGTAGAAGTTCTACCACCCAAGACAAGTTGCAATGGAGTCCAAAAAAGAGAAGGAAATACCAACGATATAAAGTGATTGTCGTGTAATATACAAAATTGCATTATCATTGATCCACAACTCAATTTGAGAGTTATAAATGCCAAATGCACACTAAGATGGACAATAGGTTATTGCAAGATAATATTTCGCTAGTATTATTTTGGTATCTACGATATCATGAGGTATACAAACAACAAGGGTTAAAAAAACAAGCTCCCTAAATTACTAGGGACGAAAATGTTACTCTCGTCAAATTTAGGGACCGACCAAGGTTTTCCTTTTCTTCAACGACGTTACCAACTGCAGTCTTTGCAGACCATTAAACCCTGCTCTGCAAATTCAAATCCTCTTCACGGTCACTTCGTCATCGACGACGAGAGGTATTGGGAAGAAACGATGAGCAGTTGGAGAACCCTTCTTCTACGAATCGGCAACAAGTGCCCGGAGTACGGCGGCAGCGCCGACGTCAAAGAACACATTGTTCGTAGTTCCGATTTCCTCTCTCTCTTCTTTCTTCTCCTCCTTCCGCTGCTTCACGCTAAACCCTAACTCAATCTGACCACTTATATCTCGTTTATCCTGTCATTCGTTTCGGTACGTAATCATTGGATAGTAACCACGCGGTTTTGGTGTTGGTAATGTGCAGGAAACGTGTTATGGAGTTGTTCGGCGAGAGTTGGAGCACTCCGCCGGCGATATTTCAAATGTACGGTGAATTTTGCTGTTGTTCTAGTGAATTGAGATTGTGTAGGGTTTGATATTTGTGCTCATATCCTATTGCGAATCCTGGTGGAGAATGGAGATGTACAGCTTACATTTTTTTTGTTGTTGGTGTTTCACAGTTCCTTATCGAATGTGCCGAAGGTTTGCCTCACAAGATTCCGCTGCTTGGAACTGTGGTTAGTGCTTCTAAAGGCCTCCTTGCTCTTTGCTTCTCGAATATATTGACTAGTCAGTGTCTATCATGTATGCACTATCTGCTTTCGGATTGTACCTTGCCTCAAATCTGAAGAACAGTATGTCCTTACTAGGTCTGATTGAAAATTCTGTATCTCAAAGGGTTTTTTTTTTTTTTTTGCTTCTGAGTACTAATCCAGTTTTTCATGCCACTTTATGTTCTTCTTGTATTGATAGTAGCAGAATCATTTCGGGCTGTGTTTAGTGATAACTTGAGGGGCCAAATAGTAGTACTAGGACTATGTGTATACAGTTCGAGGGTGAGATTTGTAAGGATTGAGTATTTGTGATAGGTTGATCTTGTGCTTTTGCTCTTCTATCGCAGATTGGCTTGTTGAACCTGGAAAATGAGGACTTCGTAAAGGGAATAGTCAAGACTACTCAGACTCGTTTTCAGGTTGAGCATTTCTCTTTTCCCCTTTTTATCGTTGTCATGTTTACTTCTGGAGTCACTATGTGAATCTCTCTTTTTCTTTATGAAGTACTTCTAGAGTCTCTATTACATTCTGGATCTTGGACCATTTTACATTTTGCTGGATGACCATTTTCCAGTTATGTAGATGGCACATTGTTGTTTAGACGGGTTCTAAGAACCACGGAGACATATATTTGTTCTTACATAAACAATAGATAGAGAGAGAATAGTCCTGCAGGTTTTGCTATTTTCGGTTTTCCACTTCGACTTCTCACTGAAAAAAAAGTCTGTGCTTTGATGGTGCTATCTTTGGAACTGCTTTAATTTTGTAAATCTAGTTCTTGATTGAGTTGATTCTGGTTTTAGTGTTTGGAAAATGTTACTGTTTTACATAGTACTTTCCTTATTCCTCATTGTTGAACATTTCAGGAGGCATTGGATTCTGGCAATTGCGACAGGATTCGTGTTCTGATGCGATTTCTAACTGCTCTGGTATGTGCATAAAAGTGATTAACTGTTAACATTGATCTCCAGTTTGTGAAGGTTTTGCTCTATAGAGTTCCTCTTTTTACATGAAAGAATTAGGATGCGGGTCTTTGTTTGTCTTTGTCTGTGTGCGCGAGTGTGTTGGAACTTGGAAGTCGAAAACCTATTCAGGTTGCTTTCTTTATTGAGTCAGGATAATTATGTTATGTGCAACTTACCAAACTAAATTACCTTTTGTAATTTGTATTTCGAGCAAGGAAACTGATATTCTATTTTGCCTGATCTGATGGTATTACATGGATGCTATGTATCATTTCTAAGCAACACAGAAAACTTGGTGACATGGTTCTCTTTTCTCCTTTACAGATGTGTAGTAAAGTTCTCCAGCCTGCTTCCCTTGCGGTTGTTTTTGAAACATTGCTGTCTTCTGCTGCCACCACAGTTGATGAAGAGAAGGGAAATCCTTCATGGCAAGCTCGTGGTGACTTCTTTGTAACTTGCATATTATCTTGCCTTCCATGGGGTGGATCAGAACTTGCTGAGGTAAATGCCGAATTAGGTGCTTGGTAGATCTCTTGGTGAACTTTGCTTAATAGTTAGTTATCATTTTCTTTATTATTTTTCCAAACACAATTTAGTTTTTTTGTATGGGGAAATTTTAGTTTTCTACAACTTGGCTTTCGACAAAATAAGTAGTCTGTTTTACTTTTGTCTCCCAGATAAATCCTGCCCTGTGAAAATTGCCCGACACTTATCTATGACCACAGATCTAAGTCTATCGTTGCTGCTATCTCAATGTGGATTTCATTTGGTCATGTTTGAGCTTGCAGGAATTTTAAGTGCTGCGGAAACTGTTAAGGTCTGATATGTGTATTGCATTCCCTGCATCGAATTAGCTATATATGGAACTTAGACTGTGGCTATGGAACTATCCACGTAGTCTACTTATTCTTCAGTCCTGTTCATAAAGTTCACCGATAGTGATTTAGTGACCATATCCTGAAAGGCCGCATAAGATTTAGAACATGCCTTATCAATCTTGTGTGTTTGGCTTTCATCCAGTTGTTTCCTTTCCCCTTGCTCTTCTGCTACAGCAGAACTAAAATTAGAAAGCTTTCTTTCCTTCATAGTTAACCCTCATTATAAACCGTTTCAAATGCTAACTGTAGCAATTTATGTGCAGCAAGTTCCTGAGGAGATGGAGAGAGTTATGGTTGGCGTAGAGGCATATTTGAGCATTAGAAGTCATAATGCAGACACTGGCTTATCCTTTTTTGAGGAGGATGATGATTTAAGCGCAGGTGAAAAGGTACAATATATCAGAAATTTTTGCAACAGGATTTTTTTGCCGGGTTGGAACTGTAAAAGGGACCTTCTGCAATCGCAGTTCAAGGAGTCCTTGTTCATTATCTCAAGACATTTGGAGCTTGATCTTGAATTTAGAATCTGTTAATAATGCTTTATTCTTTCAATTAATCATGATTCCGGATCAAAATATCCATGCTATTTTCTGTAGGACTTCTTGGAGGATTTGTGGGATCGAATAAAGTTCCTATCTAGTAATGGATGGAAAGCTGACAGTGGTAGGCCATCCTCTCTCTCTCTCTCTCTCTGGATAGTAGATGTGTTTCGGAACTTTAAATAATTACTTCTGAGTTATGGGGCAGTAGGATTGTAAATCTTGTGGGAAATTTCTTCCTATGAAACCTCTGTAACGTTTGGTTGAGGGGATAACTTTATGCAAAGATCGCTAATAGCTGTGCATTGACAAATAATAAGAATGAAAGCTGTTGGAATTAAACGCTATACTCTCCCTAGAGTCTTCATGTTGTAGTGTCTATCGATTCACATAGTAGCATGTTCTTCATTCATCAATATTTGCTTTCAGTTCCCAGACCTCACCTTGCATTTGAAGCTCAATTGGTTGGTGGAAAGGCTCATGAGTTTGGGCCCATAAATGCACCGGAGCAACCTGAACTGTTGTCACAACTTTCTGGGGTAACCTATGGCAGAGAGAAGCACAATGCAGAATTAAGGTATCCTCAAAGGATACGAAGGCTAAATATATTTCCGACGGGTAAAAGTGAGGTAGTTCACAACAGATGACTTGTTTATTTATGGGGTTTAATGGTGTGTTGGTGACTTGCTTTTTTTTTTTGTTGAAGTAATTTTCTACATCTTATACGCAATTTCTTAACTCCAAAATATTAATATACGAATAGTACGAATACCTGATTACAAGATAGTCTTCCAGCAGAAGTGAGGAGGGTATCTGTATAAATTTCCGCAACCTATCTAATTTGGCTGTCTTTCTGTTGCGACAATAATTTTGATTGCCTTTTGTAATTTTTAGAATTCAGTCTCATTTTGATAGAATGAGGACTTCTTTTACAGAGGTTACATGTCATTGGAATGCAGTTGAACCTTTTTTTCCTAGGTTGCGATACAATTTTGTGGCCTTTATGTAATTTTCAGACTTCGGTCTCATTTTGATAGAGCAAGGACTTCTTTCACTAAGGTCACATGTCATTGGAATCCAGTTGAACCTTTTCTCCTAGGTTTCAAAGGGATATTGGAAATGGACCATTTTTGTTTAGAATATACATGAATAAAGTAAAACTGAAGCTTTGGGCGTTTTCCCAGCTATCCAAGGTATTGTTACCTTCAAAGTGTAGCATTCAGTTGGTTAGATAGACACTGAAAATTCGAAAGGCAGAATGCATCAATGATAAACTTCGGGTGTTCCGTGGTATATAATACGTTCGAACTGCAAGTTAAAAGGTTCGATTCTTATATGATGTTTTCAGTTAGAACTTAGATCTATAATTATACGCATCAATGACAGGGGGTTCAACGCTTCAGTGTTTACTATTTGAATTTGCTGTGTCAAATATTTGTTCGCTGATCCATTTCCCCTGAATTCGGTGGCAGGATATGCAACCGGTAGATCGTTTCATTGTGGAAGAGTATCTACTGGATGTGCTTTTGTTCCTCAATGGCTGGTTTGTCAAAATCCTCTAAGCTTTAACGTTAATTCTTCTTTGTTTTAACTTCATTGATTGGAGTTGGTGGAGTATATTCAGACTGAACCATGCTGTCTTACCTTTGTCTTGCTTATGCATGTTGTGACTGATTGATTCTTGATATAGTTCAGTACTTGGTTTAACTATATCTTTTTTTTCTTCTTGATTAATGCAAAGCTAGTCGAAAGGAATGTGCGTCCAACATGGTTGGCCTGCCCGTGCCCTTCCGATATGAGTATCTTATGGCAGAGACTCTTTTTGCGCAGGTTAGTATCTTCTTTGCGCCTGTTCTTCAAAGTGTATCTAGAAATTTGTGCTTTCTCTGTAATTTATCAGAGGATGGCTCATCATTTAAGTCAACAATGGAAATCTCTTTCATTTCATCTGCCGACGTCTTTGATAGATTTTCCTACAGATTTGTTGTACGGGAAAGCTTAGTTTTTAGGCACTTGAGAGTGATAAATCATGATATCACTATGTTGCATCCTTGTTGTCCTAACTAGGGATAGGTTTACGGGGGTTTTTGGCTCATAATAGTGGTGTACACTCCTCTATAGTGCACTGGAAATTGATATTGGTGCTCTTTTGTTTTAACTTGTTTATTTATTTCTTTGGTTGTCCCACAGCCTATAAATTAATATTGGTGCTCTTTTGCAGTTACTCTTGCTTCCACAACCTCCATTCAGACCATTGTATTACACATTGGTTATCATGGACCTCTGTAAGGTGAGCATGAGTTGATTAGTTACCGCCTGAAGCCTCTTATAAGAAAATGGTGTCATACTTCAAAACACTCTGATCTTGAGTTGTGACAATTAGGCTCTGCCTGGGGCATTTCCTGCCGTTGTAGCTGGAGCTGTCCGTGCTCTTTTCGAGAAGATTGCTGATTTAGATATGGAGTGCCGCAATCGACTCATCCTCTGGTTTTCCCACCATTTGTAAGCCTACCAGTTGTTTGTATTCATGAAACCTGAATTACTAGTGGACTTTATTTGTTCTCCTGTACTGATGCATGCTGACAAATTTTGGGTATATTGGTTTTGTAGGTCAAACTTCCAGTTCATCTGGCCATGGGAAGAATGGGCATATGTTCTTGACCTTCCTAAATGGGCGCCCCAGCGCGTGTTTGTCCAGGAGGTTTTGGAGAGAGAAGTGCGTCTCTCTTACTGGGAAAAGATTAAGCAGGTAATGAGCAAGCATATTCTGCATCACTGACAGTGGAATAGACTATTTATCCATATGCACTTTACCACTTCCTTTCTTCATGGATGGAGATATTGAATCGGCAGTGAAAATTGTCCCTAACATTCCCTTTCCATGAATAAAAGATGGAGAAAGGGTGAAATTGTCACCCGCGATTGCTAGCTACTTATATTATCATAAACTCCTCTTTATCAGAGCATTGAGAACACACCTGCTTTAGAAGAGTTGCTTCCGCCCAAAGGCAGTCCCAACTTCAAGTATAGTGTCGAAGATGGAAGAGAGAAAACAGAATATCATGCAATCTCCGCTGAACTCAGCAACAAGGTGAAGGGGAGGGCAACTGCCCGAGAAGTAATCACGTGGATCGAGGAAACGGTTTTACCCGCCCATGGCTTTGAGTCGACACTCTCAGTGATTGTACAAACTCTTCTTGACATTGGTTCTAAGAGCTTCACACACTTGATTACTGTTCTGGAGAGGTATGGCCAAGTCATCACGCGACTCTGTCCAGACCTCGACAACCAGATCTTGCTGATTGCTGAAGTGAGTTCCTACTGGGAGAACAGCACCCAGATGACAGCCTTAGCAATCGATCGAATGATGGGATATCGCCTGCTGTCTAATTTGGCCATCATAAAATGGGTCTTTTCTCCACCAAATATAGAGCAATTTCATATCTCTGATCGCCCATGGGAGGTAATATTGATTAGTCCTTAAAATTGAGCCTCTATTAGAACTAATTGGCGTCTGGTTTAGATGTTTCAGAGTTGGTATCAAACTTTGTCTCACCACATAAGAATTTATTTAGAAAGTTAGTTTTGGGTGAATAGTTATTTTGGAAAGTTAGTTTGATGTAAGTGCATTAGTCTTTGCCAAAACAAACACATCCATAAAGCTGTTTATGAAAGAAGTGTGTTTTATTTCATATATCTCATTGTCGTAACTTTTTGCAGATTCTGGGGAATGCAATTGGCAAGACTTATAACCGTATGTCAGATTTGAGGAAGGAGGTGGTGTCTCTCAAGAAGAATGTTCTAGTTGCTGAGGAGGCTGCAGCCAGGGCAAAAGCAGAGTTAGATGCCGCTGAGTCTAAGCTTACTTTGATGAATGGAGAGCCTGTTATGGGTGATAACCCTGTGAAGATGACGCGGTTGAAATCACATGCTGACAAAGCCAAAGAAGAGGAAGAATCTGTGCGGGACTCTTTGGACGCTAAGGAGGCTCTGCTTGCACGAGCCACAGTTGAAAACGAGGTAATAACATCATTTGAAAGATTAATACACATCTCTTCCCACTTTCGTCCGACTTACTAATGCTGGTGCTTGACATTCTTTGCCAACCATGATTGGGGATTTAGGAATTGTTCCTTGCTCTGTACAAAAACTTCTCCAATGTGTTGAAAGAGAGGCTGCCTGATGCATCCAAAGCTCAAACATTACGAGACTTGAAGTCAACTCAAGTCGACGAGATGGCTGTTGATACTGATCAGCCATCAACCATGGAAGTAGATGATGAGAATGGGGGAACTAAGAAAAAGTCAGTTTTCCCTTCCAAGCATTCCATTTCCTTTCGACGATTGCTTTTGTGAATCAAATAGCTTGACCGGGGGTGGGGGCATTTTTCTATTGTACTCTTAGCAGCCAGTCGAATGGTGAGAGCTGTAGCAGCAATGTCTACAACATAGGTGAAAAGGAGCAGTGGTGTTTGTCAACTCTAGGCTACATCAAGTCCTTCTCCAGGCAATACGCCTCCGAGGTAAAAATATGACCAACCCCTTCCTGTTTAGGTGCTCATCTCAATCGTATGCAAAAATGCTGATTCTGCATGTTAACTGTGCTGCTTTTCTTGGCTCGCCACCATGGTCTCTCCCCAGTTTTCTCTGCTGCCTAAAAATTCAATATAACAAAAATCAGTATTCCTAGTGCCACTGCCCAACGTTGAGGAACACAAAACCCTAATCAACTCTGATTTTGTTTGGTAGGTTTGGTCGCACATTGAGAAGTTAGACGCTGAGGTTCTAACCCAAGATGTCCACCCTCTTTTCCGAAGAGCAGTATATTCCGGTTTGCGGCGACCCATAAACGAGCTTGCATCTGAATGAGCTGGAATGGATCTCTTTGTTGTAATCCTTATACGGTACCAAAACGGTAGAAAAATATGTCGATAGTTTGAGTTTGTCAAGGAGCCTTGAATTCGAGCTTTTGAGCTTATCGGCTGTTTGCACCTTAATTTATAAACCTGCATTTTGCGTTTCTTTTGTTGGTAAAATGGGTGCAAGTACCATTACCTTTTAAGTGTTCATCGTGCAGATAAAAAAGCTACCAACATCGGTCGGTAAACAATTTACCGTTTACCGAATTTACCGGTTTCGGTATACCGAAGTTGGCCAAACTGGTTACCGATTACCGATACTGATTTGTAACCGGTTTACCGATTACCGAATTACCGGTAAACGGTAACAAACCGGTATTACCGAAATACCGTGAGAAGCGATTTCGGGCGATTTTTTCGGTCGGTTTACCGAATATTTACCGAACCGAATCTCTGGAAGTGGGGTGATGTTGAGAGGATATTTACGAAGTTGTGACGAACAAGTTCAGAGGGGTGAAGTTGGGTCATATTAGATTAGAATAAAATAAAATTTATTTTATTTTTTAATGAATGTGAAAATAAGGTGGAAATTTTAAATAATTATAATTTATTAATTTATTATTTTTAATTGTCACGTCTAGAATTTAATGGTCAACTATAAAATTTGACCGGCACATCAGTAAAAATTAACTGAGACTAATAACCAGTGACCAAACTTGAATTGCTAACTTAATTTAAGTGATTACGAATGGAATAAAATGATGGACTTTGCTACGGTGACATGCATGTCACGGTGACATGCACTTTTCGGTCGACCTCATATAGGATCAGGTCGACCTAATCAGTTGTTTCAGTGTACAAACAGTTTCATGGTGCCTACTTTGGAGATTCATATCTTACAATTGGCTAGATGGAAATTGGAGATTAAAGGCTTGTTTTGAAGCTGAAGTGTCCCTCTACACATTAAAGTACTTGGGAGCTCAATAGAAAGTCCAGAATACCATTTTTGAACCTGACCAAAAGGCTATGCCAAAACTGGAAAACTGCCTGAAAATGGCTAAGTCTGGCAACGTGTTTGTTAACCCTACTTTGGAGCTCAATTTGACAAGCATGGATGCGAGTCAAGTCCAGGGGCCTTTACCACGTTAAATTACGTATTTTTTTTATGCAAAGGCAAGACATTGAATGAAAGATTGAATATCTTTAAGGCTTCAAACAAAAGGGTCGAAGTTGCTACGAAGGCTGTTTTTCTGGCAGCGAAGTCTGCCAGAAAAACAGCCTTCGTAGCAACTTCGACCCTTTTGTTTGAAGCTTTAAAGATATCCAATCTTTCATCCAATTCCTTGAATTTGTATAAAAACATACGTAATTTAACGTGGTAAAGGCCCCTGGACTTGACTCGCATCCAATTTCTAAGCAGTTTCCCAGTTTTGGCATAGCCTTTTGATGAAGTTGAAAAATGGTCTTCTGGACTTCCTATCGAGCTCTCAATCACTTCAATATGTAGAGGGATACTCCAGCTTCAAAACAATTCATTAGTCTTCAATTTCCATCTAGCCAATTGTATGATATGAATATCCAAAGTAGGCACCATGAACTGTTTTTACACTGAAACAACATATTAGGTCGACCGGATCCTATATGAGGTCGACCGAATCCTAAATGAGGTCGACCGGATCCTATATGAGGTCGACCGAATTCTATGTGAGGTCGACCTAATCCTAACTGAGGTCGACCGGAAAGTGCAAGTCACCGTGACATGCATGTCACCGTAGGCACACCCTAAAATGATTCTAGTGAATAACATCTTTGCTAGTAATTTAAGGTAATAAACTTGAGTCAAAAAGAATTTATTGGGAACGAAATAAACTGCCCCCGCGACCCCCACTCCTCCCGCACTTTCTTTTCTTCCCATTTTGGCCATTATCTCTTTTATTAATTATTATTTTCTTACAGTAGAGTCCGGAAGAAAGGAAAATGGAAAATGGAAAATAGGAAAGTAGGAAGCGTCTCAGTCAGTAGCCAGTCTCTTTCTTCTCCTTCTCCTTCCTTTCTTTTCTTTCTTTCTATCCCTTTCTCTCTCTCCCTCTCTGCATGTTAAAAGCGTTTCTAGAGAGAGAACGCGAAAGAGGTTGGTTTCAGTTGGTTTTGGGATTCTCTCTCTCTTTCCCTCGTTGCCCGAATTCCCGGACGGAGGAGACCCGCCGCCGATCCGGACTCGATGAGCGGCCGCTGGTTCCTCGATTGCTCCGGTTAGATTGATTTCCCCCCCGTATTCTCTCTTTTTGTTTCGGCCTCTTTATTTTCCTTTCTTTTCTCTCCTCCTTCGATTGGAGGAGCGGGAAGGAGTAGTTAGCAAATGGAGTTCGTTGGGAGGCATGTGAGGAAGGGCTCCGGCATGTTCACCGGAATCGTGAAATCCTACGACTCCTCCTCCGGTTCATTCGAGATCGTCTACGAGGACGGCGATTCCGAGGAGCTCGATTTCCCGGAGGTGGCGGCGCTGGTGGACCAGAAGGTGGGACCTGGTCAGTTGGTGGTTGACCACCGGTCTCGTATTGGGCGCAAACCGAAGAAGCGCCGCCGAGTTGTTGATCTTGAACCGGGAGGCTGTGCCGTCTCTAATGGCGGGGAGAGCGCAGGTGGAAGCTTCGTTTCTATTGGAGGTAACGGTAATTGTTTAGATATGAATAGCAATGTTGATTTGCGGGATAACGTGAGTGGTGCGGTTCTGGGAGGGATTGAGCTGGGAAATGGTAGTTCAGGTAGAGTTGAAGTTGATTTGAATGAAACCCTAGGGGAGAAGTGTGGTGGGGAGGAGAATTCCGGGGTCATTGTGGGGTGTGAAAATGGGAGGTTGCATGCGAGCTCTAATGTTAAACCGAAGCTTGATCTGAATGCTGCTTTTAGCTTGAATTTAAATGAGGAAGCTTTCGACTTGAATGAAGATGACCATGCAAACCCAAATTTAGAGACAGGCTTGAAGGATAGAGGTTGCATTGACTTAAATGTAGATGCTAATGGGGAGTTGGACGAGAACCCGAAGGAAATGAGTTCTGGTGGAGGCGATGGGGTAGAAACCCTGAGAAAGGAGTGTCCGTTTGATTTGAATATGGGTTTAGACGAGGAGATAAAGGAGGATCAGGATCTATACTCTCTGGGCCAACCCAAGGGAGATTCTCCTTTTGATATAGTGAAAGAAGAAACTCAAAACACTCTAGAGACTAGCAGAATGGTTGAGGTAAATGGGGTTGTCCTTGCTCTTCCCAACTTTGTGGCAGTGAAAAATCATCACAGCTCTAATAATTTGTGTGCTGTGTCAGCTGCAAGTGTCTGGAAAGCAAACACTGTTTCTGGTGACACTTCCATAAAATACGATTCTTTGCTGGCAAGGGTGGACTCCAATGCTGTAAGTGAAGGGAACCAAGTTTGTGCGGGAACTGTGCTGAGAGAAGGACCGAGAAGAAGAGGGAGAAGGAGAAAGGTTGCAGGCATTACAAATCTTGCTCTAGCAACAGTCTCTGCTAATAGTAATGGTCTTAAGGAGGATAGAGGGGTTATAATTGATGAGAACCAGCCCAATGTAGGCAGTGCATATAAAGATTTGAGTACAAGCCGTAGGAAGAGAAGGAAACATTCAGATGATCCCGTCCAAGAAACAGTGGTCTTAAGAAGGAGTGCACGAAAGGGATCAGCTAAAAATTATTCTGTAACCACCGTAGCATCAAAAGAGGCCCTTGAATCAGCGCCCGCTGAAGTCAGTGCACTAAATGATGAGACACCTAGGAAATTGTATCATCAACTGGAAGAAGAACATGTAGTTCTTCCTGCAAAAGTGCAACTACCGCCTTCTTCAAAAAACATAGATCTGGGTGGAATTCACACACTCGACGTCTTCTCAATATATGCATGTTTAAGATCATTTAGTACGTTACTGTTTATAAGCCCCTTCAAGCTGGAGGATTTTGTGGAGGCGCTGACAAGCAACTTGCCCAGTGTGTTGTTTGATTGCATTCATTTTTCGATTTTACAAATTCTTAGGACGCATTTGGAACATCTTTCAGATGAGGGTTCTGAATCTGCTTCTGACTGCCTCAGGTATTGTCCGTTGTTTCTTTGTCACTTCATTTTTCCTGGTGTTTTTGTTGTTGTTTTCATTTTAAGCTCTGCTTATTGTTCATGGGTAGTTTCTATGTTTCAACTGTTGATTGTAGGAGCCTTGACTGGGATCTTTTGGACTTGATCACCTGGCCCTTATTTATGGTTGAGTACTTTTTAGTTCACAGTTCAGGAGCGAAACCTGGACTAAATCCTAGTGAGTTGAAGCTATTCAAATGCGACTACTATCGACAACCAGTGTCGGTAAAGGTTGGCATGCTCAGACGTCTGTGTGACGATATGATTGAGACAGAGGCCATTCGGTCAGAGCTAAACAGAAGGACTTCAGGTGCCGAACTTGACCTCGAATTAGACCGAAACGATAACCTTGGATCTTCGAGGAAAAGAAAGGGTGTTGTGGATGTTGTTGTTGGTTCTAGCTTGACCGAGGAGGCTGTTGATGATTCAATGGATCGGAACATTGATGAATGTTGTCTTTGTAAGATGGATGGAAACTTAATATGCTGTGATGGTTGCCCTGCAGCATATCATTCAAAGTGCGTGGGAGTTGCTAATGATTCCTTGCCAGAGGGAGATTGGTACTGTCCTGAGTGTGCAATAGACGGTCATAAATCATCCAAGAAACATCGAAAGGCAGTTCGTGGAGCAGAACTGCTGGGAGTTGATCCTCATGGTCGACTATATTTTAGCAGCTGTGGTTACCTATTGGTGTAAGTTTATTCTACCCATCATGCTTGATTTGAGTTGTTGACATTAGCAATTTTATACCTGTACTTTTTAGATTTCAAGCTATTTTTACAGTTTTAAACCAGATTACATATCTTTGATGGTCTTCTGTGGACAACCTCTTTTTTCTCTTGGGTCAGAAATGTGGCTGTATTTTAAAAAGTTGTGGAAAATAACTTTGTAGCTGTTTTTATAAACTGAAATGACCAGGACTTATGCAGTAAAATTACCTGTCTATTATTGTTGCAGGTCAGATTCAAGTGATGCTGGTGACTTGTTTAGTTATTACCACAGAGATGATCTACATGTTGTTATTCATGCGCTAAAATCTTCAGGTAGGTCTTATGGTACCATTGTGAAGGCAATCTTTAAGAATTTGGATGTCCCTGTTGGTAGCTTGGGTACTGTACATCAGTTGAGCAAATTCATTCCTTCACTTGCTCTGGCAT